TTTTTTTTTTTTTTTTTTTTTTTTTTTGGTGTGTGTGTGTGTGTGTGTTTGTTCTATGATACCCTTGAATTTAATGGTTTGCTTCCTTAAAAAGCATTTTACCTTATGCAATACAATTATTTTTAACTTGGAGCTTTAGTGCAAAGAATGTAGGATGACACAGAAACTCAAGATTAACAAAAAAAAGAATGATTCAATATTTCAGTACATTTGGCTAAGGAGATAAAGATGCACTTAGAAAATCTTCAACTTGGGCAGGGATTCAGCTCAGTGGTTCCGCCACCTGTTTTGCAAGCACAAGGTCCCAAGTTTGATTGCCGGTACCTCCCTAAAAAGAAAATCTGCAACTCAAAGATGCTCCTAGGTTTGGGCATTAACAAAATATGATGCTTTGATTTAGTAAACATTTAATGTGTACCTGTCGTGCAAGGAATATAATATTAAGAGCAAGGCACACTTAAATGAGATACTTCCCTATTCTCAAGAATTAGTTTAGTACAAAATTGTTGACAACTAAAGCATAGTAGCGTACCTCCGGTACTCAGGAGGCGGAGGCAGGAGGGATCACTGCAAATTCAAGGTCAGCCTGGACTACATAATAAGACCCTGTCTCAAAAAACACCAAAAAAACCCAAGATAAGAATTCATCCATGTTTATGAAAGAAACCTTAGTATTTCACACTGACAATCAAGTTTTTCATCTTGTTAATGATTTTCAGGTGTAAAAGTGAAAAGCAGACACACTAAACCAAAGAATATTATTCAATACACTGTAGTGTTTTTTAAAAATCAATTTTCAACTTTATTTTTGAAAAACATCTGTTGCTGATACTTCTAGAGTTGACAACTATGATTCCCTAATCTCTTTTTTTAATACTTTTTTTTTGGGGGGGTACCAGGGATCAAACTCGGGACCTTGCACTTGCAAAGCAGGCAGTAGCCCCACTGAGCTAAATCCACGGCCCTCCTAATCTTTTTCTTATATTTATACTTGAAATGATTTCCTTCATCTTGTAATTCCATCTTCCCTCTACCCATTTGTTTACTCTAACTTTGACAAAGCATTGCCTTTGAAATATTTTTGTTATCACTGTATGAACTTGTAAACTACAATTTCAAGACATTCACCATATTTTAATAATAATTATAATTAACTGAGAAACAAACCCTGTGAGCAATCGTTCCATACTACTTTGTAAGAGGCTACTGCTAAGTACAGGTTTTGATCACACCTAATCTAAAATCTGAAATGCTTTAAAATCTTTTGAATGCTGAAAAGCTCTCACAAGTGGAAAATTTCATACTTAACCTCATGTGATGGGCCAAGTGAAAATGTCAAGTGCACTAAAAATTCTTAATATTACCGTACTTAAAATTACAGTAAAATTTCCTTCAGTTTATGTATATTAGGTTATAATGGTCAATTTCTGTTGCTAGGACAAAATACCTGACCTACAGGAAGGCTTTATTTTGGCTCATGATTTCAGAGTTTTCAGTCCATGGTCAGTGGATTCCAAGGCAGAAACATCATAGCAAAAGATCATCGTGGAGAAAAGCTGCGCAACTTAACGGCAGTTGAGAACCGGAGAAGGGTGGAAAGAGTCACAGAGAAAAGAGCCACAGACCAGATATGCTTCTCTAGGTCACACCTCCATAATCCTCTTAGATACACTCAGGAGTGTGCTTTACTATTCCCCTGAGCATTTCTCAAGCCAATCAAGATAAACCATCACAAAGGTGTATATGAAACATAAAATGAATTCTATCCTTAGACTTGAGTTTCATCCCTGAGACCCCATGTACACGCAAAAATCCCAAGCGCCAAATTCTAAAACACCTCATATCCCAAGCACTTCAGGTAAGTGACACAGATCTCAAATAAATCTAGAGGAACTTGCTTCCCTAGAAGGCAATGCTATTTCATTCCTAAATGCATAAAAAGTAACAGCAAAATTAAAAACACCTACTTTACAAGTGAAACTTAAGTATCTGAAGTAAATAGCAGTAATACTAACCAGACTAAAAGTCATTTCCTTTTCTTTTTCTTTTTCTTTTTTTTTTTTTTTTTTTT